ATATATTTTAGTTTTTATATTATAAATTTTTTAAGGATTTTAGTTTTAGGCTACAGTTATATTATGTGAACATTTTATTTATTTATTTATTCTTTATTGAAAACACCTCAAAAGGGTTGCAAAGGGCGGACTTAATGCCTACCAGTCAACCCGGGGCGTGAGGAGAAATCGTGGTAGGTTAATGCAATAAATAAAATTGCATTTTAGTGATATCATTTAGTTATCTTAAAATATATGATAATTTAAATAGTTATTAGTTGAATAAATTCAGTGAGTAAATGTGAGTAAGTGTGAAATATCCCTCAATGCTTGAACTAAAGGTCTTCAATCAAAGTGTGTTGCCAGTGATGACCTAAGGAACCGAGACGTGATCCATCACTGCTGGCTGTATGTGCAAGTTAGAGTAGCTCAGGGAGCTATGGAGCGAGCTATGCTCGGTATTTCTATGTATGATAGAGTTGACAGACCGCAGTAGAAGAAAGGTGACCGATAGCTCGGAAGATTAGTAAGCTGAATGGCAATTGAAGAGGCATATAATTGTAGAACATGTATGTCAGGATAGCGTAGGATAAGGGTTAAGCTGCCTTTTCAACATACTAAGCCCTCCGCCACGACTAGGCTGGGACCCAGTGGGAGGTCATAGTAACTACATCCACGTTATAAGGTGTGTTCACCACTTCCGTCAGTCGATATGTTAACCATGTCAACAAAGAAAATCCACCGTGGGAGTTGATTTCCGAGGATCAGACACAGTAATTAATATAGGACATCCCGTCTTGAGATAGCTAACTGGTCACATTAGTTGCAGCTCACAATAAATACCGGCGCTATGTCGGCGCGACAGCCTCGTCGCACGCGAGCCCCGAGCGCATCGTAAGTCACAAGTGTGTATAACATAATCGATTGTTTACTTTGCTCTTATTATCCTGGATAAGTCTCCGTGCGCTCCTATGGACTACTGAGGAGTTCTCGTTTCCAGCACGCGATAAGGTTAGGAAGGATGGGTTTAACATTATGATTTATTTTGTTTTGTTCTTATTATCCTGCTAAGTCTCCATGCGTTTCTGTAGACTACTGTGAGTTGTCGTTTCCAGCACGCGATAGGGTTAGGATGTGTTTAATATTGTGATTGACGAATTTATGTTGTCATTTCATTACCATGGATGGTTTACAGACTATGAGATTGTCCTGGCAGCTCGCTGCAGTGAAAGGATTCGCATAATCTATTTAGAGTTTACTTGTGGAGTTTTAGAATTCAGTTTTCAAATTAAATTTAATTGTAAGTAGAATTATGCATATAAAATAATTGATTGTTAGATTTTGGATTAGGGTGTTATTTTTATGGAATATGTACGGTTAATGTTCTATCAACGATATAGTTCTATCTCTAAACGGGAAAGTTTGGATGACTCATAAATAGTTATACGAATGGAGTAGCGATTGCGATTTTTATTATTTTTATTTTATTATTATTATTTATATTAAGCTTTAATTTTATTCAAGTAATGTTTGTAAAGCACTTAAAATAAAAATAAAAGTTATATTTTGTTATACGAGTACATGTTGACATGTTATAAACACACGCTGAAAACATCTCACAAAGTTAATTTAAATGTTACCAAATGCTACGTCACACCTAACTTCATGCTTTACTTAATTTAGGCGTGCAAAAAGCGCAGAGTACATTACGTTGTTCATGTCACTTGGAATTTCCCTCGACTTACTTCAACATTTCTCAAAGCTGGCGTTAAAGCTTCCTAAGTCGGGCTGTCTGCGTCTGCCCGGGAGTGGGGGATTTGAACAATGCACTATTGAGATTTTCGTGTGATAGAACACGTGTATAGGTGCATAGAATACGGAATAGAGGACGGATTCGAATCGTGACATCGGGACATATTGTTTCAACTTTCACACTTATTAAGCATTATTTTGTATAGTTAAGGAGTTGAATTAGTCAAATATACTTGACATTAAAATAATTCCAATCAGGAACTGAGCAACGTAAATAATGCCTACACAACTTATAACAACTTGCATACACAACTTAAATTTAAAGGGAAAATATTTTCAGTTTTCAAATTTTTTAATCTTTACCATTCTCAAGTTCTTAAAAAAATTCTATCCCGTAATAGAAATCGTTTCGGAGTTGTTTGTATCACCCAAGCTTGAAAAATTTTGTCTTAACCATAAACAAGGAGAGAACTCTAATTGTGTAGCGATCCATGTTGAAATTAGGTAGTTCATGCTTTTTTTCTTCTCCACTGGGCTTTGCTTTGGCTTTGGATGAGCGTTCGCGGTTGTCATGTCAGGACTTCGCGACACTATAACCCAGGGTCAGTCTGATTTAGCTGCTTTCTTCTTTAAGGAGAGTATCCTTAGGCGTCGTTGTGATTTTACTCGTTTGGACCGCTACTTGCTTGCATAGGGTAAGCTTGCTTTCATCTGACTGTGGTAGGGCCACGCAGCAGCCTCGGCTGTTGCACAAATGGGCAGGCTCGTCTGGGTAAGTACCGCGACCTCACAGAAGACCGGCGTCAAGTGGAAGTACTTTCGCGTTTCGACTGGTGAGTGAGGTAGCCGGAGCTCAATTTTCGAAAATGTTATCAACGCATCTGCAAACCTTCGGGTGTAGCAGATGCCCATGGGCGCCGGTATTCACTTAACATCAGGTGAGTCGCCTGCTCGCTTAACAACTTTTCACATAAAATAAATAAAATAATCGGTCACTGTCCGTTGACGTGACGATAGTGTCCCATTGTTTCGCGTTAGATGTGAGCAGTGCCAAGTTATGCAGTAGACCACCTGCGACTCTGACGTCACGCCATCGTGCGTGTGGCACGCAACCCTGCGGCAAGTGTCAGCGTAAGATCTTTTCCAGGTGATGAACTGTGCTTTATTGATGGTGATACATCCGATTGTTCTATGCAGCGTATCACTCTAATGTTAGCATCAACGGTATCGTATTCCAGTTGGTAGGTTTTTTTGAAAGTGAATATAATAACACGCTTCTCCTGCTGGTAAGTGGTCACCGTCGCCAATGGATATCCGCAACGCGAGTCCGAACGCGAGCGCTTGGTAAAAACATCTTAATGCGTACAGCAAAGTAGTAGATAAGCGACAGTTTTAAAACAACAGTTGTAAAAGTCATTAAATATAACATATCTACGAATCATCATGCAGTTAAGTACTAAGTTTTTGGATAATTAAACATTAAGAAGGTGATCCCTGGTTTTCCAATCAACAGACGAAACGCAAAAGTATAGGAATTTCTACTGACTCTACCACAATATTTCATAGAGCATAGGGCTTAGGCCGGTTCTTAGGTATGGATAAGAGTTTCAACCAGTCTGTTACAGCATGTACATGATCATTATGACCGTTATGATGAGCAGTGTTCCTTCGAAAGTTCTCTGATCTATAACTATATAAATTAATTTTTACATCACAGCCTTAACGATATCTGGAGCTACGAGTTTAATTCTAAAGATAAATCATCGTTGAAAGAAAATGGAAGGGAAAGATGTCCGCAAGATTAATAGTACGTCAGTAAGAAGTGCGGCGGGGATTACGGGAGTGCAGTGAGAAATCTTAGCAGCAGACGTCGTGGGAACTCAAGGGACACATAGACCTCGGAATGAAACAGATATAATAGTTACAAATTTATTAGTTTAGTTTTTGCGATGATAGCAGTGACCATCAGGCACTAGCTTTTGATTTTTATTGGCCTGTGATTGGTGCCGGCACCAATTAAATTGTTAATTTTAAGTGCAGACTTATCACGTGCCGTGCCTTGAATAGCCGTTATAGTGCAGTGTCCAGGTGCTCGCCTTTATAATAATATATTTGAGTAACTTGAGTTAGATATCCGGTGCCGGCACCAATGAAATGCTTAATTTAAAGTGCTGACGTATCATGTTAGGTGAAAGAAAACATCGTGAGGAACCTATACATTTCCGAAATCATAACAAAACAAATGTTTCGAAGTTAGGTGAAGTCTGCCAATCCGCAGTGGGGTCACGTGGTGGACTCTGCCCTAATACTGAGGGTAGCAAAAAAGAGACATTTTCCCAGCAGTGAGACATAGATAAACTGTTATTTTCCTTTCCTTTTTTTAAGTTTCCATTGATTTTGTTCTCACGTTCTTTTAACCCTAACAGTGTAAGGTGATGTAATTATATCATATATTATAATTTAATATGATATATTATTCAAGGTATAACTAATGTAATTCACGTTTTGCAGATCTTATTTTGCCCCAACCTAACAGCCTTGTTTGACACTATACGTGAGGAATAAAAGTAAGAATGTAATATCTGCTCTTAATAAGTCTTATACCACTTATAAGCTGGTCTAGGCACATCACTGGGTATCGATGTTTTAAGACCGCAAATCCCGTACAACATTACTATTGAAGTAAGTTGTAATTCATTAGCTCTATTAAGCCGGCTTTCAGTTCCCTCAGGGCTAGGTCTTAGGTCCCTTCTTAGTAGTTTTGTGTGTGTTTTCCGCCTTACGAACATAAGGAACTGAAACAGAAGACTTTAAGCTTTCATCCATTGGTATAATCTGTGTGTTGTGTATTAGTCAGTCGAAATTCATGTTTATATAAAGACAAGGTTGCCAATTAACGATAAAATACTTGACTGTTGTGCAAATCTGACTGATAGCTAATAAATCCGTAGATGGAATGTTGCTAAAAGAAGATAAATTTGAGAAGTTTTTTATACAAACTTTGCTAGTAAGCTATTAAACTCACGATATGCAGCTGGGGAGGTCTACACTTCATATTACAAGATATTATATTCATTAGTACAAAAAGTTTAGTATTTACCTATTCCACACTTTTAAGAAAAGTTCTTTATTTTCACCGACTTGGCTAAAATCTCACTGATGTGGTTGTTGGTCGTAAACAAACCAATTCAGCAACAGCCTATTGATTCTCTCTGAAGGACACTCACACTGTAATTTACCTCATTACTAAGTAGCGAGGAAACATCCTATCTATGGTCGTTATTTTTGTGCGTCGCCGGATCGGCGGAAGATGGCGCGAGATTAATCGTGACGTCACCGGCGGAAGTGCCGTGTGTGGGGACGCCGCGCGCGGGACGCAGACCGGACTTCCGGTCGGCGGGGTGGCACGGGCTGCGGGGGTTGAAGCCCCCGGCTGTATTAAAATATTCGCAAAGGAGATACATTTCGGAGCATATTGCGCTGTGAATATGTTGTTTTATTTTCAGTTCTAGCTCCATCGTTTCTAGTTAGTTCGTTATTAGCAAATGCACGCCATCCGATGCCGTGTCTGTAATGCAATCTTTATTTCGTCTAATTCAGAAACAGCGTAGGTATTACCAAGATAAAAGATTTACCACAGTATCAGAACGTAAATGAAACAGACACAAATCATTCATTTTTTATGTTTTTTTTTTTGGGCTGGATGAGCCACTGTTAGCCTTAGGGGCCTTTACAGTTCCGACGGACTTGAGGTGGCCTGGCCCGCGAGGCGCCTAGCCTGAACCTCGGCGTACTATTATTACGCGTTATGGTGACTAAGCTCGAGGGCTCCCGGGGGAGCCTCGGCTCGGGCCGTCACGCTATTATTATTACCGGTTTGGGAGGCCGCCAAGCTCTAAGGGCGCTTTGGCGGGCGCTCCATGGAGTAATCAGGCTCAAGGGTCCCCGAGAGGGGACCTCGGCTTGGGCTGTCACTCAGCACGCGTTTAGCATTCCGATTCGAGGGTGCCCGAGAGGGCCGGACCTCGGCTCGATCGGTAGCTATTATCTGTTATATGTTCATGTCTGATTACTAATCTTTTGTTCAACATTTTAGGAAGACGTATATGTCATATTCTAGGTTTGCAGTTTGCCATAACTGGCAGTATAGTGCCGATTATTCGCATGGAAGTGTCACAGTGTTCTCTGAATTAACCGCTTTCGCATCTCACACGTAGCGTTAACTCACAGCGAGAGACTGTAGCTAGTTAGCGTCTGTAATTGCAGTTAATAAACTTCCAAGTATTCCTTCGCAACTACCACGGTGCATGTTTACTCGTGTACGCTAAATGGTTGCCGGAGTCTTTAATGAGAGTCTGCCGCGAGCTTTGTCTTTGTTAATCATTCCTTGGTTCTGTGTGTTTATTTACTTATTTATTTAAATGAAAGTGATACAATAGTGTTAAATCTTCCATGAGACTATGCTAATTATTTTATATGACATCAATGCCTATCGTGGTTTGCAGAAACTAGTTAATATATGGATAATTATTACTATTAAGCGAAAATATAGACTTCAATAAAATCGACGAAATACGAAAGTCATTTGCTTCTATTTTACTAAGTTTCTGTTAAATTACAATTATTAAATCGATTTAAAATTACAATATTAGTGACAAACTTTTTTTTATGCGAAAAGTTATCAAACGAGCAGACGGTTTACCTGATGTTAAGTGAATATCACTGCCCATGGACATCTGCCACAACCAAAGGTTGCAGATGCGTTGACAACCTTTTGAAAATTGGGCTCCGGCCACCTCACTCACCAGACTAAACGCGAAAGTTATAAGTCCACTTTACACTGGTCTTCTGTGAGGTCGTGGTACTTACCCGGACGGGCCTGCCCATTCGTGCAACAGCCGAGGCTGCTGCGTGGCCCTACCACCGTGACAAACTTATATTTTTTATACCATTTATATTATTTCACTTCATACAATCTCATCCATGTCAGTAATCAGAAATTTATACACTGAAATAGCATTGGAATACCATAATAAAAGAGAGAAACCAAAGCTGAAAAGGAAATTTAAACTTTTCATTTATTTCAAAACAGTATAAAAGGTAATAAAGAAACAATGTTCAAAGTTTAATAACCTCTCTCATAAAATTAAAATCTGTATATAGAAATGGAAATGATAAAATTTTATTTATTGTATATCAAGCAATGTTATTTATGACATTTAGTAAGCAAGGAGCCCGTGGATATTTTACATTGAAAGGAATAAGGGAGCTAACATTTCGAGCAGACTGATAGACATTCGTAGCATGTCCTCGAATATAATTATCTAACGATGAATACTAAAGTACAAAGTATAATGTATAACGTTTGTTTCGACGAAAGACGAGTAAAATTCATATGATAACTAAATACATACTGTAACAAGTCATCAAAACATTTATGTCATATTATGTCATAAAAATTTAATTCATCCTCCGTGAACTTCGCAAACGAGACAAAGGAGTTAAGTTTTTTAAACCTACCTGAAATTGAATGCATTTTGTTGAAACGCTCACTGTCTGGGAAATTCGCAATTATCATTTATATGGGCTAAGTTGGTCTGAAATGCACACTGAGTTCCTTTTCGTGGCGTGAACTCAACAATTGTTATCTTTGTTATTAAGATTAGGCGGAACTGCTCAAAGTTTATTTAAAATAATGAAAGTACGATATACTTACCGTTCTCGTTTATTCTTTGCCAGCTGTTTTTTTTTTGCCTAACTTTTACCCGCGACGTAAAAGTTAGAAAAATTAAAATTGTGGGATTAGCAGTGGGACGTAGTTTAAATGGAAACTTTGGGAGCGGTTTTTAAAAACCACTCCTTTTTATCAGTTTTTATTGAATTTCCTTTCCTTTCTTTATCCCTTAGTTCTACTTTTTTTAAAGCACCACACCTGCTGTAGGACAAAACTATACATTACTCTAGAACAGAATAAAATGGACTAAAACTTGGACTTGAAGTCAGGATTTGGCTAAATGTTTGTACACATCATTTCATTAAATCATTCGGATTGTGTTAGCTTTTGTTAAAATTCAGATTTATTTATTTACTTCACCAACAAGTTACACATCAAAACAAGCTTAAAACATAAATAAGTACATAGTATCTTAAACTAAATGGTATCTCAATTACAGGTGAAACGACATTCAAAAGTTATTATATTGACAACTGCTAAAAAAAATAATAATTGAAGTATGTTAAATGCTAACAAAGAATTAATACAGTAGTTGACTTTACACTAAAATAAACATATAATCAAAACAGAAAATAACAGCATTTTTAACAAAATAACAAAAAAAAACTTTAGAGACAAAGAAGAAATTTACTCTAATTAAATAAAAAACTGTAAGTGGACAGATTTCTCTTGAACTTGTCTATAATATCGTTAAAAATGTCTATGGTCATATAAGTACCAGACAATTTATTGTAAGTTGATAGTTTCTTTAGGAAATCTCCCATCATATCACATTTTTTGTTTGTAACTGAAAGAGCTAACAGTTTTAAGCATATTATTTTAGCCATAATCCGGATGTCATATTCATGTTTATTAAATAACGATATATTTTCTTGCTATCTCTAAGCTGACACAGACCTAAGGTTAGGTTAAGTATACGTCAGCAATGTAATATAACTTAGTATATAACTGTTGATGAAAATAAAAGATTTATATTGTACACTTAGAAAACTCTTCACAAAACATTAGGGTGCCATTACACTAAGTGTATCGGTTATTAACGCATCCCTTAAACTTGCCTAAGGGATCGTTATCTTAATTCAGGCTCACCCTTCACGCGATCCATCCGAAACGTCCCCGCTGCAATTTCACGCTGGCAAACCGTAAAAGCCAAACACTCGCGGAGCACAGTTAGGCGTACCATCAGCCATATTGTGCGTTTCAGTAGGCTTGTTACGGGGACTTGTATACTACGTGGACAGAACACACGGGGCGAAAGTATGCAGCGAACCGCGGCGGGTTTTTTCAGCATTAGCACACTCTGCAATGGTTTGTAACCATAATATGTACGTATAATGTTACTTGCAAAACATATTTACTTATACAAGTATTATAAACTGAAATTCCTATATATTAGATTTTTATTTTAAAGCGAAGTTAATCGTTGATCAATTACAATACATGCAATTCGCATGATGTTGCATAAAAAATGATATCATACTTTGTAAAGTGAAAAAATTGGAGGACAAATATTAGATCGTATATTACTTAATCCATGTAAACAGAATTATTTTTGAAAAATTAACAGACTACAATTTAAATATCTGTTTGTTGAGCCTGTCTGAAGTACAAAGTTTATTACTGAAAATTAGCTAACTTAAATGTATTCATACGATTATTTTGCAATCATTTGTTGAGGCCCGTCTGCATTTTGTTAATAATGTCAATACGCATAAAGTACTCTCGTTTTAAACGTGACGGCTAGATCTTATACATATGTCAATAAAAAGAAGTAACTGCGGCGGTTTGACATTTTAACCATACAATTTTAATAAAAAAAAAATACAAGATAATCTTCGTAGCTGCTTTTTTTTATGTGAAAAGTTGTCAAACGAGCAGACGGTTCACCTCATGTTAAGTGAATACCGCCGCCCATGGACATCTGCCACACCCGAAGGTTACAGATGCGTTGACAACCTTTAGAAAATTGGGCTCCGGCTACCTCACTCACCAGACAAAACGCGAAAGTAATTGTCATACTTCCACTTTACGCTGGTCTTCTGTGAGGTCGTGGTACTTACCCGGACGGGCCTGCCCATTCGTGCAACAGCCGAGGCTGCTGCGTGGCCCTACCACCGTTAATTTTTCATATGCAACCTTTGCGACAATAAATGAACACACATATAGGGGATAACTTTTTAAAGTTGTATTAAACATTTAAATTCTTTAAACATCAATATTTACAGAGTTATTAAATTTTCCAAAACAAAGAATTTTAGAACACCCTTATCTATAAAAGTGAAACGTAAGGTTCATTTGTAAAGGTCACGAAGCATATGAATGGGTTGAATGAATTTAAAAGAGACAAAACATACTGTTAGACAGAGAGGCTTGTAATACGACGCTGTGGCGCGAATTGTATAGGATGTTAAAAATTTTGTTTCTTTTTTAATTAATTAGTTTGTTTGAAAAATATTTTTTTTTAATTATGGATTTTGTTTAACGTTAATATTTTTTTATGATTATTGCCAAGTAGCGTTAGACGTGTGTTCATTTATTGTCGCGATGGTAACGACACGCTGTATAATCGCGTATTACACGCTCTTTACTTATTTTCTTTTATACGTTTGAGTTAATATTTATATATTTTTTTATAATTTCGTTGTTACTTATATAATCATTGATAAGTAACAACGAAATTATTCTTTCATTGCGTTGTTACTTTATAGAGTTCTTCCTTATAGTAGATTTGAGAAATTATAAAAAGATTTTCGTATTTTGTTATTGTTAAAAAGCCTAGCACACAAAATTCGAAAGCGTTAACATTCTACATCTTGGAAAGACTTGTTAAGACTCGATTGGAGTCGACAAAGTGTGTTAATTAATCAAAAAAGAGAAACAAAGCCGAAGCGGTTCAACTTCAACTTGCCGATGCGAAACTCTTGCCCGTGCGTTCGCCGTCGAGGCTTCTCCGGCGATAAAATTTGCATAACTACGCCCTCGGCCGCGGGTGCAGTCTCTTATTAAATTTCCACCCCTCTGAAACTCATTAATGGTTTGCGCTTAACCACCTAGTGCTGTTACTGCGCGATAAATCATAAGGTATCGTGTAATATCACATTATAACGTGCGTCGTTCCCCTGACTTTTATTGCAGTCTCAAGACGCGAGTTATCCGAAGAGATCTCCTTGAAGCTGTGCCCGGGATTATCCCTAATCTTTTGTTTACTTCAGCCCTTTTTAAGATCCACGATCAATTGCGTGTTTCATACAACTGTATACACATGTTAAATAAAAGTGTTAGTGTAGGAGGTTCTCAATTCGACTGTATTTTCTTTATGTTGATGATTCTTTTTTTTATTTGAAAGCTGGTGCTTCCCACGTGGTGCTATATAAAAGTAACAGCCTATACATGTCCCACTGCTGGGCAAAGGCCTCCTCTATACAGAGGGTATCAGGGCATAGTCCACCACGCGGCCCCACTGCGGATTGGCGGACTTGTGGTGCTATATAATAAATTATAATCTAATTTCGCTGGTATTGGATCTCGGGCTGCGGAGATACTTAGGGAAATCCTAAAAATCAATTATAAATTGAAAACAGAACGTGATATTTGACGTCTGTTTTGTTTTTCGTTAATAAAAATATGGACTTGTTACGGATTTCTGACGTTTCGAATAAGTCGCATGGAACCGATACTTTAAACTTCTGAATGTTCGACCGAATACTGCATGTTTTTACAGTTACCGTAACTCTTTAAAATTATTAAATTTGAATCCGGTTTTAAAATTGAAACTTTGACCTGGAAACCATCCCGAACTTGACGACTTGACTTACCTTGACGTTGGCAATTATTTTTATTTTAGTATGTAAAAATTTGTCAAGCGTGCAGGCGGTTGGCCCGATGCTAAATGAAACTCCTCGCTTATGGACATCTTCAACACCCAAAAGCATGTAAATGCGTTGACAACCTTGGAGGCCCCGTTTACCTCACTCACCAAACGAAACGCTTCAATACTTCCACTTCACGCCGGTCTTCTGTGGGGGCGTGTTATGCCCCGGACGTGTCTGCCCATTCCTGCAACTGCAAAAGCTGTTGTGTGGCCTTACCACAGTTAAATTAAGAAAATTCTTAACTATAAAATAACATTATATTATAATGATAAAATAACATTAAATAATAATAACATAAAATTAACGATAAATCTGTAAACATAGTTTCATTAAGCAATGTATACCGTAAATATAAGATTTTATGATTTAAATTCCTTTGCTTCATGTTCGTGTTATTATTTTCTCACAAATTCTTGCACCAATCAAGCCGTAAGGCACAGTGAAATGTTTGAAGCATTATCCTTCTCCGTCAAGTCCGTTAGTAATTTTACCCGTCTATTTTTATGTGAAAGTTGCCAAACAAGCAGGCGGTTCACCTGATGTTAAGTGAATACCGCCGCCCATGGACATTAGCTACACCAGAGGGTTGCAGATGCGTGGACAACCTTTTGAAAATTGGGCTCCGGCTACCTCACTCACCAGATGAAACGCGAAAGTAATTATACTTCCACTTGACGCCGGTCTTCTGTGAGGTCGTGGTACTTACCCGGACTCGCCTGCCCATTCGTGCATCAGCCGACGCTGCTGCGTGGCCCTACCACAGTTAAGCGTCTGATTGAAACGTAAAATTGTATATGTTTTTACCGACGAAATATTTTTATTTCGTTATTGATCTTTTTTCAAAAATGTAACTTTAGAGAATATGTTATTTTAATGAGTACTGAATCAAAACCAAAAAACAAAGATACGTAACAAAAAACCGCACAGACCCATAATAATAATAAATAAGTCATTATCGTGAAACGTTACTCTGATAAACGACCAGACACTCAACTATCCAATTACGGGCCGGCCTAACAGCTCTGGCATTCGTAAAACCGTATACGTTCAAGCATAACATTCCGATATAGAAATGCATAATTCACTTTATTTTCTCCTTCCTCTTATTTCTTTAACATTGCAAGCGACAGTCAAGTGGTTGCCGGACACGAGTTTTGACTTGCCGATTAACTTCAAGGGCAGGAAACGTCCGTGCTCCAAGCAGAGTGTGGTTTTCCCCGATAGGCTCGTGGGGCCCGTCAAGATCGAGGCCGAAACAATTGTGACGTCAGTCCTTTTGCCTGTAGACGGCGAGATCCTGCTGGGCGGAAGCGTGGAGTTCGGCGCTGACGACAACGAGACGAGCTGCGGGGCAGGGTACGTGTACTACATGGAAAAATCAGAGGCGTCATGGGCACAAGCCGGCGTCTGGGGCTCGTCTAGGTTCAACATGGCCACGCCAGACTCTGAGAGGGTGCCCTGCTACGACGACACCGTCGAGTTCCCGGCTAACATCAGGTCCACTGTAATCATGCCGATGTACACCCAGCAGGTAGCCGGCTTCAGGATCGGCGACAGGCTTTATAACAACGAGAACTTATACGCGCGTATTGTAAGTGACACCGGCGGGAGCCTACAGTTCGTTTCGACTTGGTTAACTGTGGGTGTGGTCGTGAGCCAAAAGGTTTGCCAATCGGTGTCCGGCTGCCCGTGCCAGAAGTACGCATTGGAGATCCAATGTTTCTCGAAAACCTGCGCCGTGCCCACGTGTGTTCACCCCATAAAGCCGATAGGGCATTGCTGCAAGGTTTGCGGCGGTTCCGTTGCCTTCAACGTCACCGAGACATTCGACATGGAGGCGTTCAAGGAGCTCGTGGCTGGCACCGTCAACAGCTACGCAAACGATGAAGTGGAGTACCACGTCAGCAGATTGCCGGAAAGTGAAGTCCAAGTCGTGATAGTCGACAAAGGTGAATACGAGGGCACAAGTGCGCAGGTGCTTAACGCAATCGCTTACAGAATGCAGCAGCATTGGGTGAAAGGCTCAAAGTATGTTCAGCTAAGCGGCAGCCCCCTCTACAAGTCGGGTATGGGCGGGAAAATCTTCGTGTCGATGTTCTTCGTCGCTCTTTCCGCTATAGGCGCGATATATGTCTATTATTACAAAATACCGGATATAAGGTATCCCATAATGGGTCGTTTGCCGACCTTCTTCGCAAGATTGCAGAGGAGGACTGACAGTGTGGTGTCGTTGACTAGACGGGACTCGGTGATAACGAGCACGGGAGTCCGGACCGCCTTCCGTAATCCGCTGTACGACTCGAAAAGGGGGCGTGTGCAGGTGGAAGAGACTGACACTGTACAGTAATATTTTTTTTAATGAGAGAAAGTGCGCCGAGCTGGCGGTTCACCTGATGTTAATTGATAACTGCCCATGGAAATTTACAACACCTATACTTGCCACCTTTTACCACGAAGTCGAAATGGAACGGATTATCCAGTGAAGTGATATGGATTAGAAATTCGTCTATATCATAATATATTATATTTATCTCCTTAATACTGTAATTTGATTTGTTTTTAATTTATGATTAGTAATATAACTCCTTAATCCTTTAGTAAACAATACAATAAAATATTGTTATTAATTTATTCAATATGTCTGCGCATCACAGAAAAACTGCTGGATAGATTTCAACTAATTCTCAAAAGCTTAATTTCATAGACACTTGGACCTTATCTGTCAGGTGACCGGCTTGTTCATTTGCCTCCTTTTTATATAAATATAAAAACAGCTAAACGGCATTGAATGGCACGGAGATAGTTATACTCTAGATTGGATTGAAGCTGCAAGTACCTAATAGCTAGTAAATTCTGTTATGTGGTGGTTACAGAACATTTGACACGTTCATCCCACCCATTTAATGAGCTAATCATCAATCAAAGTTACCGACATGATTCTAAAGATTAGCAGGCTGAATCACGATGGGCCGGCCATATAGCTTGTAGAACCGATAACCGATAGGCAATAAAGGTTCTTGAGCGGCAGTCTATTACTTTAGGATGACCCCCCACTAGCTAGAGGGAAGTTGATGGATGCAGGTGGCTCAGGATCATGCTCCGTGGCTGTCGGTGGGGGACGCCTACGTTCAACGGTGGACTCAAACAGGCTGAAATGATGAAGCTATTCAAAAAGACGAAACTCTTAGGATACTCATATCTCATTGATATACGCATCGAACACTGTAGTGAGGATTACATATTGATAATGATGAATTATTCATTATATTATATTTTCAATTATATATTTCAAATATAAATAAAATATTTCCAATTGGCGATTGTTTTCATTTTAAGCTATGGAGTGATATATAACAATAGATAAAGTGTCTAAAAGTAAAGAACCGAAGACAGAGAGCGTCCAAATCACGAATACCTATTGTTTAGGAGTAACTTTTTATCTATACAAATATTTTAACCGCGATACGCCCACATATGTCTAAGCTCACTCGTCTAACTCAAATGACGAATGACGGCTGTCACAGTGAGGTCTAATTATCGTGAAATATGCTGAGTACTTAAAAGGGAACGTTTAATTGTTGTGACGTGTAAAGATCGTTTGAAGATTTTTAAACTGTATTGACTAAGATGAGAAAGAAGGCACGGGATGTCCAAGAAAACGTATACTGACAAAATCAGTAATGATTTAAAACATGAAAATTCATTTCAATTCACCATTAATAATTGAAGTATCACATAATTAAATGAAAGTATTAAGGGAACACTTTTACTAAAGGAAAACTGCTACAGTATCTCTTATATGTATACGATAGCAAATGCAGACTTGGCCAGACTCAGAATTATAGTAAGTAACTAAATGTTCTAATGTTGGGAAGAGGCACAATACCCTACTGTGGATTAGACTTTTTTTAGTTATTTCGAAGATATGCAGGCTTTCTTGCGATATTCTTCCACTAGGAGAATCAGTACTTAGAATATAATTCTAAGTACTGATTCTCCTGGTATATCTTTCTTTATTTAATTGTTATATATTTATATTTTATTGGCGCTTGCGCTGTTTGAGGATAATCAAACGTTGGATCACGTTGTTTGAGAATCACGTTGTTTGAGGATACTCAAGCTGTGGTGGAGTAGCTGTAGCGTAGTGTATAAGACTTGCTATATCCTTTTGTCAAGTTCAGCCAGAGCTCAACAGTGCAGTCGTGTTATTATTTACTCATCGATCCCGCTCCTCACCTCATGGCGACCCTGCCAGGACTCGAACCTGGAACCTTCTGACGCCTGCCTTGGTGGCGCCTGGCCACCAAACTAGCACTAAAACCAGCGAACGCAAATAAACATGGAAGCATTATTGACACTCTAAAATGATACATCGAAAAACTATTACGTGACGGCGCGGGGCTAAAAACCGTAACGCGGTTTTAGGGATGTAGACTTAGTTCCACTGACAAATAAGTTCATTTTTGTTTGACGCTAATTCAGTGATTTGTGTATATATGCACGTGATAACAGCCAGTGTGAGTTGTGGTGCTATTTATTAACAATCACTTGTATAAACGTGTTGCTTCCATGTTTTATCAGCGTTCACTGACTAAAACGCATAAATGCGAAGAAATAACCTTATGATGGACTTCTAATGCGTAGTACTAGTGTAAATAAAAGAAATCATTGAACACGTGACAAAAGTAAAAATAAACTTACGAACAATGGCCTTGGTGTGATGATTCCGACATGGATTGGGAGTTTAGGCTACAATCGAGGTCGCTAATAAATAATGAAAACTTACTTTACTTTTTACGATACATAGGAACTAAATAAATTTTCGAAGATTTACTACATTATAATTATATTACACTGAGCACGTGCTCGAATAAAGATTTTTGTGTGTTTGTACATAAAGTAAGTGTAAAATTTGCAGATATTGTGGCCTATTTTTAAAGCTCGAAAGATTTAGAGCCTAATGAGTAGGCCTCAGAATTCTTTTAGTGTTCTGAGGGTTAGGTCTAGTTACTTTTGTAATACTTAACTAGTAGAGTAATCGTAGAACAGGTAAAGTGTCTTGGATTATATCTATAGTTTTGTTTCTTTGAGGAAAATAACTGATCATTATATTAAGTGCAACATTACTAAGGGTCTTAGTCCAAGAACGAAGCGGTATTTCTCGTTTATGTTTGCACAGCAAAGGTATTCAACAAACCGCCACCGAAATGAGGTCCGACTGTATCTAATTTTCCGCCGCATCGCCACATATTTTCAAAACTCGAAAGGCAAACATAAACATACACACACACACGCAACCAAATAAATTAATATTTATTTTGTTTTATTCTATCATACTATAAATTGATAAACTTATATATTATAGGTACTTATAATTAAGAAATTGTATTTAGATGATATATACATATTATACATAGACATATATATAGATATTATACATAGGTGTCATATTAGTAAGGTTGAAGTACATCGATGTAACTATTCACGAGAACTGCTGCCGACAAACTGCATCACAGTTCGGTGGAGAATAATTTATGTTATTGTACTTTATTACTGGATTAAATAAATAAAAAAAAAAAGGAAAAATCAGTAAAAACGGAGAGCAGCACCACAGGGAAATCATTGAGAGTGCTCAGTGGAAGATATTAAAACTATTTTAAACGTAATGCGTTAAACGCTCGTTTATCAAAAGCGCTTGAAACTCGGCCCGAGCGTCTGCAGGCGACTGCAATAAATCTGGAACTAGGAACGCTTTCACGGCGCGCGCACTGTGACGTGTCGGCTTGCACTTTTACGACGTCATAAGTGATGAAGTGGCCTTATGTCATATTTTACATAGTCTCAAGGCCGTGGAGATTTATGAGGAATTGATAGAACGAGTCTGCGAAGTATTAAATAATCTTTCTTTTTTTCAGATTCTCGAGAGATTGGAACATTGACAAGTTTTTTTTAACACATTTGTACACAACATTCTCTAATCCCAAACTAAGCAAAGCTTGTAATATGGGTACTAGAAAACTGATAAACATACTTAAACATACTTTTCTTTTTGTAAATAAATACATATTATACATATAGAAACACCCAGACAATAGAAAAACACCATGTACATCACACAATATTTTTCCAGTAGTGGGGATCGAACCCACACCCTCTGGCGCAGGAGGCAGGTACACTACCCACTACGCCATTCGGGTCGTCCCCTCTCCTCTTCCTAATTCAGTTTTCTCCTCTTCCTTCTATGCTAATTCTTTTACGGTTACTGCTATACGTATATTAAACAATCTAAACCTTTTAACATTTTTAAAAATAAATTAAAATTTCATTACCTTTCCCCTTAATCTGCTATCTGTCGTCCATTATATATTATTTTCTGGTTATATGTACTTCTACGTATGTAATTTTCTTAATATTTATTTAGTACACCCCAGCCACTTTCTTCTTTTAATGCATTTCTCTGCCCTAAGGTTGCCTGGAAGAGATCGCTGCTTAGTCGATAAGGCCGCCTGTTGTACCCGTGTGTTTTTTTAATTATAAATACTGTAATGTTTCTTGGTGTACAATAAAGCATATTTTACTTTACTTTTACTTTATTTATGACTTTAAATTTTGATATAAGTCCAAATTCTTCTTTTTCTTTCCTTGTTTAATCTTACTTTAGGATAACATTATATGGATGTTTTATCGTACCTTAGGATAAGCACGTGGACAAACACCCAGATGCGAAACAACTATCTATGGGTCAAACAAATAGTTGAATCAAACCCACGACCCTCGACGCCGAAGCCAAAACCTTAGCAACTTCACCACGGAGTCATCAATCGCTATTGCAAGCAATCGAAATTGACCCAAGTCTGAAATAATGACAAAAAATTAAAAATGTTTCCATTTCGTACCAAAGCCTTCAAGAGTCTTCATCACCTAGAAAATAAATACGGAAGCGTCATCCGATCAATAAGGTCAATGACCGCGACCTCTTCGAATGTCTCTCAGAACCGACAATTATTTCTCGGCATAAACGAATGATGTTCATCAATCGTGACCACGCGTCCAGTCTGGTGACAGGGCTCAATGAGCGTAGACTATCGAGTAATCGGCCAAATCCCCTGGGAAACCTCACCTGCCTGATTTTATCCCTAAAACCGTACGCGCGCGTGTAACTCTAACTGGAAAGTTTGGCAATTTCGAAAAAGTCAATTGCAGGCGCCGCGCAGATTACGCCGGGCGCGTCGGCATCGAACACGCGGAACACAATGCGGCCGCAATTGGATGCCGCCCACCCGCGGGGGTGGCGATTCGATTACAGTTCGTCACATTTCACGAGACGCCGTGATTCGAGAACGA